TATGTTTGAAGCGCACGAGGTGTGCCACCTTGGCTTGAGCAGCGATGCTTCCCTGGACTCGTCCATCCTTTCAGGATCTTTTGTGGGGGCGTATGTAATTCTTCGGCAGGTTCTGGCGACCCACGCAGCGTGGAGGGGGAGAAAGATGATAAAGGGGGAGGAGGAGGAGGAGGAGGAGGAGGAGGAGGAGGAGGAGGAGGAGGAGGAGGAGGAGGACGAGGAGGAGGAGGACGCACGGGAAGGGGGGGAACTAGGAGTGGGGGGATGACATGGGCCAAGCAGAGTCAACGTGCCAAGCGCATGCGGTTAGGACTTCACGCACATCCGCACAGATTCGCCGCTCACGCGCAAGCCCAGACGCGAAGGAGACACGCACATACCCACAGCAATGCGCGAGCACGGAGCACAACGAGCACGCATGAGCGTCTGCACGAGCCGCTTCTCGGCCGACACCAGCACCGATAAGCCTGGGACTCCTGGCGATACGGTGCAAAGGTACGATACGTACTGAGAGTGCTGAGGAGCGCACTCGATGGTCAGCCCCATCTTCTCGCCGTCGAGCGGGTGTGGAACCTTCGGGCGGAATCGTCAACGGCTGTGTTTCTGCGCTGGCATCGTGGGGGGCGCTTCCGCTCCAAGCAAGTACTTGCGCACAAAAACAAAAGAAGGAATACAGACGGAAACATCGACAAGCCCGTGACTTGGGGCGCTCTTGAAATCCCACCAGCCCATTCGGGCGCGAGTGGTTTAGCGGGTTTCCTCTTACAACCCGCCTTCTTCCCCTTCTGGCAGGGATTTGCCCCTGCCCCTCCCCCCTCTCCCCCTGGACCTGGACGCGGCGCCCCGCGACCGATTGGAGCAACTAAGAAGGCTTCGGCGAGAAGGCGCAAATCATTGATTTCACTATGATTGTGGGCCAATTTCGGCCACCCCTCTTCTTTGATCGAGCTTCTCCAGGGTGGCCCCAAGATTGCCCTCACGGCTCCCTAGAGTGTCTCAAGGTGGCCCCAAGAGGCGCCCAGGAGGCCCCAGGAGGCCCCCAAGAGGTCCCCAAGAGGCCCCCCAGGAGACCTTCAAGAGGCTCCCCCGAGGCACCCAAGGTGATCCAAGACGCCCCCAGGACCGCCAAAAGGCCCCCAAGATGCCCCAAGAAGATTCAACAAAGCTCTCAAGAGACATCCGGAGAGACTCCGAAAGGCGTCCAAGAGGCCTCTGGCCATTCCGTTTGCCATCCTCCTCCTGCTCCTCCTCCTGCTCCGCCTGTTCCTCCTCCTCCCTCTCTCTCCCCTCCCCCCTCCTCCGATTCCTCCTCCATCCTCCCCCTCCTGGGGTACGACGGCCTCCCCAGCCCCCTTAATTCCAGTGCATGCTCCGCCGCATCCATGGCCAGGGCAGCTCGCCCGGGCATCGCTTCTGGATGGGCCGGTGGGGTTACGCGACACACCTAGACACTTTCAAAATACTGTATAACAAGAAAACCAGCGACCAGATAGTTGAGCAGATGCAGCGGCCTCACTGATGGAGGGCTGCTCCTTCTCAGGCATGGGGTTTTCGCTTGAGGCGTCGCCCTCTAACGTCATGACCAGAAGTGCAAACGTGCGCAGTATTTACACAGATGGGGGGCGTTTTTTTTGTTATGTGCTCATGCCTCTTCGCGTCTCTTATCATTCGTTACAAGGCTGCAGGGTCGTTCCCACATCTGGGCCCTCGCCGGGCTGGCAGGCCCACCGGATTCTAGGCCTGTAGGACGGGAGGGCGCATTGCAGTATCCCGGACGAAGCTCGAGTATGCTCTGGTCCTCCTCTTCCTCCGCCTCGCCCCCCTGCCCTCCTTCCCCTCCCTCCTTCCCCTCCCTCCTTGCCGCTCACAACTCATCAAGAGTGCCGCAGGGTCAGGCCCCGAACCAACGCCCAAAGGTCAAACCTGGTCCTCAACTCCCACCCCCCTCCCTCGGTCGGCCTAACCCTGCGGCATAAGGTGGGCCTTCCCTCCTCCTCCTCCTCCTCCTCCTCCACCCTGTTCCTTTCATGACTAACTCGTCCCTGTCGCACCCCCAGACGTGTTTGTATGGCGGGCCAGGTGTTTCGCCTGAGACTTCTTCGCAATATATAACCTTGAAGCTTAAATGATGGAAGGCGGGTGGTTTTCAAAACGAGGCTATCGCTTTAGCGCAGCGCACATTCGTCTTAGAAGTACTGCACCAATCTCAAGGATGGACGGCGGCTGGCTTTCAAAGTGTAGCTCTCGCCTTAGCACTGCGCACATTCTTCTTAGAAGTATTTCAGCAGTCTCAAGGATGGACGGCGGCTAGCTTTCAACATGTGGCTTTCGCCTCCGCGCCGTGCACATTTGTCTTCACATTCCGCAGCTGTTTCAAGGATGCAGTGCAATTCGTTTTCAGCATGTGGCTCCCGCCTTAGCGCCGCGCGAATTCGTCTTCAGAACTTCAAGCAGGTTCAAGGATTCGTATAGTCCCAAGTGAGATGTTCTGGCATAATTTAGAATTTTCAGGACGCAGCAGTCACGTTGAATCGCAGTGGTGAAATCCCAGGATTGGTGTTCTGGCACACTCTAGGGCCGTCAGGACGCAACATTCACGGTGATTCGCGGAGTTGAAGTCCCAGGATTGGTGTTTTGGCACGGTTTAGGATTGTCAGGACGCAACCAGTCACGTTGATTCGCGGCGTTGAAGTCTCAGGAATGGTCTTTTGGCACGGTTGAGGGTTCTCAAACGATGATCTTCCAATGGGGCACTTCCCGCAATCGAAGCAAATTCTTGTGGGGGCCTGTGAAGAGGAAACTTGGAGGAAGGGTTTTTATTGTAACATCGTAGACGCGCCTTGGGTTGACACTGGTCCTCCTCCTCCTCCTCCTCCTCCTTCTCCTCCCATCCCTCCTCCTCCTCCTCCTCCTCCTCCTCCTCCCTCTTCCCCTCCTCCTCCTCCCTCCTCCTCCTCCTCCTCCTCCCTCCTCCGCCTCCTCCTCCTCCTCCTCCTCCTCCTCCTCCTCCTCCCGCCCTGCTGCGCGGGAGCCACGACGCGCACTGGCCGAGGCTCCGCCGCCGCCTCGCTGGGGGGCTCCACTGGCGCGGGCGCCGGCGCGGGCGCCGGCGCGGGCGCGTCGCCCCCCGCGGCGCCAGCCGCGTCGCGGGAGAGGTCGGCCTCCAGCTGCGCGATGCGCGCCTTGAGCGCCTGGCAGCCAGCCAGGGGAGGGCGCGCGAGGGTTGGGGGTAGCACCCGCGCGTCGTCGTCGCCTCGCAGCTGCCGCCGACGCCGCCAGCCCCGCCGCCGTCGTCGTCGTCGTCGTCGTCGTCGTCGTCGTCGTCGTCGTCGTCGTCGTCGTCGTCGTCGTCGTCGTCGTCGTCGCCGTCGTCGTCGTCGTCGTCGTCGTCGTCGTCGCTGTGATCGTCGTCGTCGTCGTCGTCGTCGTCGTCGTCGTCGCCGTAGTCGTCGTCGTCGTCGTCGTCGTCGTCGTCGTCGTCGTCGTCGTCGTCGTCGTCGTCGTCGCAGTCGTCGTCGCCGTCGTCCGTCATCGTCGTCGGTCGTCCGTCGTCGGTGGTCCGTCGTCGGTCGTCGTTCTCCGCTCGTCGGTCGTCGTCGGGGGGGGGCGCACGATGGGGGGAGAGCACCCTTGCGAGCGGAAAACGGATTCGGAGGAGCTTGCCCGAAGGCGCTTCATTCACGGCGCACCCACAGCTGGAGCCGAAGCCCAAGCTGAAGTGTACAGACACATTCACGAAAGGGCCCTTCCAGCAGGCTTGGTTTACAGTTCATTGTAGAGCGGTGTTGCAGCCTCCCCTGAGCGCGCAAAGGGGCACGATGAAACCAGAGAGCTCTCGAGCTGTGATCGCGAAGTTATCCGAGGCAAGCAACACAATGACCATGACCAATATGTAGAGGGTTAATGTCGGCAGCGATCCTGGCCATGGTCCATGCAGGCCGTCGCCGATTCGCGAGGAAATTCTTTGCGGGTCACGGTCTCCGTTTTCTTGCCTTCCAGTTTTTCCGCCTGGCTCTAGGACGTATCTGATGACTTCTAGATTCGAGCCTCGGTGGCCTGAGCCTCGGTGGCTCAAGCCACTGAGGCTCGGTTGCGCTCGAGCCGCACATCGTTGCCGCTGCAGCGCAGGACTGCACACAAGGTGCACGAGCAGCTGCAATTGTGCACGGCCAGAGGCTCGAGGATTTACTGGGAACCTGTCAAGCACAAGGCCGGTCATCCACGCGTGGTATGCTTCCAGAGAGGCCGCGCGCTGGACACACTTTTTTGGTCTGCGGGTCGAGAGCGAGCCTCTTCCGGTTAAGAGCTAGGCGGGCCACGCAAAGCACTAATTGGGGAGACAGAGCACAGGCGCGCGGGGCCTCAGGCGGCCGGAGGGCGGGCCAGGGTGCAGGCGGTGCCGAGGAGCTTGCACAGGAAAAGGAACGCCTTGGACAGGAGACGGAGGCTAAGCGCGCTGGACACACGCGCGGGGGCCGGTGCAAAAGAAGGCTGCGTGGGGGGCGAGGTTCGAGGATCTTTGAGCAGGCTGCGGCCATGAGGAGCTCCAGCCAGGGAGCGAGGCTCCTGCTTTGGCCACGGGGGAGGGCGCGCTCGAGGGGCGAGGCTCGAGGAGGTCTTCGTGTATGCTGCTCCGCTTGTTTTGGCCACGGCAGCGGCAGCCCCCAGGAAGCGACGCCAGTGTGTGAGAGAAGTGACGAGCACGGGAGCCGGCAGGCGGTTGTGCCGCAGGGCCGTCCTCGCACCTTCCTCTCCGGGCGAAGCGACGACGCTGGCGCGAACGGAGCGGTGGGGTGGAGGAGGAAGGAGAACTCGTACCAAGAGCGACCATGATGATGATGATGATGCTGATGGTGATGATGATGATGATGATGCTGGTGATGATGGTGGTAATGGTGATGGTGATGATGATGGTGATGAAGATGGTGATGATGATGGTGGTGATGATGGTGATGATGATGATGGTGATGAGGATGTTGATACTGACTATGATGATGATGCTGTTGATGATGATGATCATGATGATCATGATGATGATAACGACGATGCTGATGCTGATGATGAGGATGAGGCTGATGCTCATGATAATGATAATGATAATGATAATGATGATGATGATGATGATGATGATGATGATGATGATGATGATGATGATGATGATGATGGTAATGCCGATGCCGACTGATCAGGGGTCAAACGTCGACCCCTTGGCCCCTCATGGGGCGCGCTCTGGCCAGCGCCTCGAGGCGGCTGCAGCCGTGGCCGGGAGGGACCCCAGAGCGGTCGGGAACCTGCCGAGAGCCAAACTCGACCCTCGAACCTCGAACCTCGAGGAGGAGGAGGAGGAGGAGGAGGAGGAGGAGGAGGAGGAGGAGGAGGAGGAGGAGGAGATGGAAACCTGCCAATGGTCAGCGGATCATTCTGGGGCGAGGTTCGAGGATCTACCGGGAAGCCGGCTCTTCGGGGGCTCTACTGGCCGGTGTCAATGCATGCCGGGGTCAGTCGGGCCCTGCAGAATCCTGCAAGATCCTGCAGGAACCTGCACGCAAGCTCGGCCCAATGCCCTCCTGGCCCTGCAGGATCCTGCAACATCTGGCGCTCTGGCTGACTCCCGTTTGCATTGACCCCCGTGTCTTGAGTCACTCGCCATCGCTCGGACGTCCATTCCCCGTACATTTTTCGGCGTCGTGCGTGTACTTTCTCGCAATGACGACCCAAACTACTCCTGGATGGTCCTCGCCCGAGCGATGCCAAGCTGTTTCTTGAGTCCCGATTTTTGCGGGATTCGGGGGCGCACTGACCCTTGCCAATGCAAACCCAGGCCAACCAGGCCTTGCAGGATCCTGCAGGAGCCCGCAGGACCCTGCAAGATCGTGCGCGCGAGCCAGGGTCAGTGCAGCCCTGGCCCTATCCTGCAAAATCCGGCGTTCTGGCTGACCCCCGTTTGCACTGACCCTCGTCTCGAGGCTCCCGAGGGATGACCTTTGCTTCTGCCGGCGGATCCGCACCCGTCTTGCTCCCGCCGGCCTCCGCCGAGGAAGCGGCCCCGACTCCCTCCGTCCCTCGGAGGCGCCCCCCCCCCCCCCCCCCCCCCCCCCCCCCCCCCCCACCCCTCTGGAGCGCCCCCCCCCCCCCCCCCCCCTCCCCTCGTGCATCCAGGTACTGCCCAGGGCAGCCTCGTCAGACACTCGCCATCGTTCGGACGTCCATTCGTCTGCTCCTCCTCCTACTCCTTTTCCTCCTCATCTTCCTCCTCCTTCTCCTCCCCCTTGTCCTCCTCCTCCTCCTTCTCCTCCTCCTCTTCCTCCTCCTCCTCCCGTGCGTTTTTCGGCTCTGTGTGTGTATGTCTTTTTTCGCAACGTGACCCAAAGATACTCCTCGATGGTCCTTGCCGAGGAAAGATGCGCACGTCCGAGCGACGCCACGGGGCTTCTGGGCAAGCTCCTGGGCGTTCTTTGGGGTCCTTTTCGGGCCTCCAGGTTCGCCTGGAGGACTCCGCGGAGAAGCTCGGGGCTCCTCCTCCTCCTCCTCCTCCTCCTCCTCCTCCTCCTCGTAGGGATAAATCTGGGACTATTTGGGGACCATTTTCGCGGTGTATGTTGATCTGTTGAAAGTCGTTTGATTCTTCGGTTTGTGCTCCTTCATTCCTGCATGTTTTTTCCCTAGCATCCTCTTCGTCGCCACCAACCCTGCAGTATAATCTTATTGAACAGCCGCACACAAAGATCCCACTTATAATCCACACACTAGAAATCAATATGTAAGTCGACTACGTATATAAAAAATCCCATTTGAAAGGAAACCAGAATTTTTGGACCCCCCGGGAACAAAAGCAAAACACATATATTCCGCCGTTTTTTGTTTTTATTCCGGGGCGGGGGGGGGGGAACAACAAAAAACGAAAAAACAGCTGATTTTTACCACTGTTCTCCGCCACAAAAAGAATCCTTTTATCATTCGCCACACAAGGAATTTTGTGCAAATCAACCATACAAGGAACCTTGTTTAAAGTCGCGCAACCGAATTTAGTTTGTAATCCATGCAATATAAAACACATGGTAATTCGCTCATACAAGGAATTCTTTTGAACAGCCGCATAGCATGACCCTGCGTATGTGTAAAGCACACAATAGAAATGGATTTGCGAATCGCTCACAAACAAAGATTTTCTTTGAACAAGAGCCACAACAAACGGTGGACCCTCTAAAAAAACGGGAATACGTCGCCCCCTCCTTTTTTAGTGTTTTGTTTTTGCCCTCTCCCAGAGGGTCTCGAACTTTCTTTGGCTTCCTTTCAAAGGAAATCCTGTTGCGTGCGATTTACACATCGATCTCCATTGTGAGGGTTGCACACAAATCCTTTTGTGCGGCTTTTCAATAAGGATTCTGGTTGTGGGCGATTTATATGTTGATCTCTAGTGTGTGGATCACGCGAGGAATCCTTTTGTGCGGCTCTTCATCTTTTCAATCGGATTCCTTGTGTGGGCGATTTACATATTGATTTCCACGGTGTGGATTACACATAGAATTCCTTAGTGCGACTTTGCACTATGATTCCTTTTGTGGGGGATATACGCATTGATGTGTAATGTGTGGATTACAAATCGAACCCCTTTATCTGACTTTTCAGTTTTTTTTCCGTGGGGGATGTAAGTCGTGAGGTCTATTGTGTGGAAATACATCCATCCCTGAAAGGATTCGATTCCAGGCGGCTGGGCTTTTTAATCCGATTGCTTTAAAGGTGGATCGCGCCCACTTCTAATCGAATCCCGCCAGCAGCGGATCCACCCCCATTCGCAAACATATTCAAATAGAAGTGGGTCCACATGTCATAAGAATATACTCCAGGTGTTTCCAATCCTTCATGGAATTCTATCGGGGGTGGACCCACATCTAGTGGGTTTCTAGCAAAGGCGAATCCACACTGACTGGAATTCGGTTGCCCGTGATTTCGTCCATGACAGGATCCCAGTAGAGGTGGATCCGCGGGATTCCATTAGGGCTGAGTCCTTCCTTGATCGGCTTGTATTACAGATTGCTTCATCCTCGATGAGATTATGTTAGAGGTGTGCCCACTGCTGGTAGGTTTCCATCGCAGCCGATCCATTTATGATAGGGTCGAATTAGAGGTGGCTCCGCATGGCCTTGCAGGCATCGGATGGCTTAGCAGATTATCTAGGTGCTGGAAGATC